ATTCTAAAAGCATGGTCACAAAACACATTTTGAGCTAAAATAAAAAAAAAATCTGTGTATAGTCATGGTGCATGAAGTTAATCCCAACACCCAGAAAGCAGAGGCAGGCAGATCTCTGTGACTTCATGGCCAACCTAGTCAATAGAGAGAGTAACAGGACTGCTACACAGAGAAACCTTGTCTCAAACAAACCAACAACAACAAAAAACAAAAATAGGACAACTGAGGAATGAATAAAATCCATCTGTGGAAGAGGACACAGTAATATGATATTGGGCCTGAGGAGAGAGAGTGCGCATGCTTGGGCACATGCTAAAGAAATCAACCATATGACCCAGCTGTACAGCTCTTTGGCTGCCTCAGGCTGTAAGACTTTAGGAGGCTTAAGAAACAGGTCTCCTACAAGACTGCAACGTTGCTTTCTAAATGTGCAGACCTAATTCATTAGCTTTCACAGTCTTTTCATGGTGGGTTTCAACAGTGAATAGATAATGCAAATTTGAGGTACAGACAACTGCACACACACACACACACACACACACACACACACACGCTACATGAGCACACTATTCAGCTTTGAAGAAAAATGTATTCACAAAATTAAAAGAATAATGAATGGACTTCTCATGTATAATCTTAAGTGAGATCACAAATCTCAGATAAAAAAACCGTATATCCCCTCTCATATTTGGAATCTAACAACAATATATACATAGATGTAAACAAAGTAGAAAAGAAAACAAGAATGACTAAATATGAGGAAGAGGAAGGACTGAATGCAGGTGAGGGATATGAGGTATGAAATAGGATATGAAGTTAAATGTTTAGTTACACCTCTGTCATGGATTTTTATATTTTGATGGTAGATAAGTGTATAAAATATATTCATTAGTGAAAGTTTAAAGTCCACTGAAGTTGTACAACTTCTATTCCAAATGGAAAGTCTAACAGTAGAAAAGTTCATTGAGCTGTCCTGATGTTGGGTCTGGTTAACTTTAGTGAGTAGCTGTTTTGTAAGATTTTTATAATTTAGTTTACTTAAAATTTTAGATATGAAAGAAGAAATAAATAAAACAGTACAAAGAATCAAGAAATCTGACAGGTAGTGCTCTGAGAAGATAAAGATTGACAGCACCCTAGGCCAATGGACTGAAAGAAGGGAGATAACTCAACAGAACCAGATATGAATGGGAAAACATTATAACAAACACCAACGAGATTTAGAAGATCATAAAGGAATACCTTCAAAATCTATACACCATTATGTAAGAAAATAAATAAACAAATTTCTAGATTCTCCAAAACCATCAACTATAAACCCAGAAAAGATAAACAACT